ATATAATTAGAATATTTAATCTATTTTTAGGGTTTTACACCCTTTTTCAATTGTATAAAAGTTTGAAGTTTCATTCTAATTATAGCATTGGCATTTTCTATTGTAGTTAAGCAACTTACTAGAATCGTAAGTGTAAAGTATATTAGTCCTATATCTTAGTTGGATCCTAGTTTATCCAAGATTTTGACCTAATCTTTACTACTAGGCCATGGCATGTTGTGCATGAAAGGTTTTTTTTATAAAGATGCATGAGTCCGAGAATGACCTGAATTGACAGTTGTCACATTATGTTCACGTAGAATTTTAAGGTTCTCTACTTCTCTACTTAGTGCCTCAATTTCCTCATGAAGAATTTTAACATAATTAATAAAACCTTGAGAGCATGAGGGTAGACTTACCTCATTTTTATTTGGTTCATGAGAAGAAGATACCATCAGTGCGAACTGTCGCTCCATCATTTGATCTTCAACTGCAGCAGTCTCAGCAGGAGCATCATCACCAACCTGAGCCAAATGAGCATTTTTCAGGTCCTAATATGTTCAGGGCCTGCATTTGATCCTCCCAGTCAAATGATTGTGCGAACATAGCCTTCTCGATGTTCACTTGAGCACCGTTCTTATTGTTTCCTACTGCAACTATTGTTCGATCAATGTTTAATCTTCTGTCTGGCTTCGGGCATTCACGAGCAAAATGACATGGCTCGTGGCAATTGAAACAACGTAGCTTTCCCTTGCTGAATCCAACCTTCTTGTCAGCACTCATCCCCCAATTGTTCTTTGTGGTCTTCTTGGCAAACTGTTTCACCCAGAAAATTATCATGGCGATTTGCCATGTCATATCCATCTCTTCTACGTCTTTAGGATGAATCTGAGCGAGATCAGCAAATGACAATTGGGGCAGAAGATCTCCAGCCACAAGTGCATTGTAGCAGTTCACAAGCCCTGTAGCCAAAGCGAGATTTTCATCACCCTCCTTTCCATTTGATGAGGAAGCCACATTGGAGAAAAAGCAGTTTGAGTAGCCACGAACGATTGGTTCTGGGAGAGAGGCATGGATGATGCAGCAGGAAGTGAAGTGACTGATGGAGTGGAAAAATACTGAATTTGAGCTTGCTGAGCAGCAAGGGATTGACCTGTAGAAGAACAGGAAAAAGATGAAAGAGCATTGTTGGAAGAGATCCCAAGGTTTGCAGCTGAGTATGAGTTCACATGATTCATCTCCCGCTGTTTGACATCAATATCACAGGCTTTGAAGACTACCATCACTTCAGCAAGAGAAAGTCGGCTAAGATCCTTAGTCTTCTTTATAACAGCTACATTCATGTCCCAAGACTTTGGGAGAGCATTCGATAACTTCTTTTTTATCTCAGACTTGGTATAAAATATCCCAACTACGGTCATTTCAGTGGTAAGAGATGTGAACCTTGAGCAGAGGTGTACTCCCGAAAACCTTCGTAACTCGATTAGGGCTTCCCACAAAGCCTTAGCAGAGGTGTACTCCCGAAAACCTTGAGCAATGTCTGGAGATAGAGCCATGGTCAGGGTGGCCAAAGCCCTTTCTTGCTCTTCAACCTTCTCGAAGTCTTCATCTGTGTAATTCTCAATCTTCTTGTCAACCACTTGCCCTGCAATAGTGGTGGTTATTCTAACAGGATCTTTTATTATGCTTCTCCAGATCTTGAAGTCCTTCATCTTGATGTACTTTTCAATCCTGTACTTCCATTCTGGGAGACCTTCAGCGGACAACAATCTAGGAATTCGAGTGGTTGTGCCCATTACAAAGTCCAACTCGTGGTGGTGTGTTTGACTTTGAGAATCCATTGATATTAAATTAATATTAAATAGAAATTAAATTATTTAAAAATAAATTAACTTTCTTGTCAAACGCAAGTTCACAATCAAATTTCGTATGCGACCGTAAACTATGTTCGGGGTCAGAGAGGAGTTTGCGGTCGTAAACTCTGTTTACGGTCCAAAGTTTATGGTCGTAATGAGTTTCCGGTCTGTGTTTACGGTCCAAGAATCCAAGTTTCCGGTTGATGAAAAATCCTTATTCACGGCCCAAGAACTAGGTTCACGGTTCAAGAACTGATGGGGGTTTACGGTCGTAATCTAAGTTTATGGCCATAAGCTATGGCCGTAAACTCCCAGAAACTTGAGAAAATGCAGTTTTGAATGAGGCTTGAAACCCTTTCGCAGCAAACACCAACTTCAGTTGCAAACAAATAAGAACACGATCAAAAATCGATTGTAGAATGCTTTTGACTCTGGTTTGCTCTGATACCAATTGTAAGGTCCTTAAACGGATCTTACCAGTGATCAAATAGCAAACACAATCAATTAGCAATAAAGAATAAGTAGAATTGAGAATGAACAAGCTTGCGCACGCTTTTCTATTAGGAATCACGTTTGGTACAACTTGTGGTTACAATAGCCGTGAACTCTGAGGCATCAACAACTGACAAAAGACCTAGCACACCTCTATATATACTGGACTTAGGCCGGCCATGGTTTACAGCCGTAAACAGGTTTACGGCCGTAAACTCATTGTTGGGCCGTAAACTACACATATACTACCAAAAGCTATCAATTGACTCAAAAGAACCTATTACATAAAAGCCTAGACCAAACCATATATTAGACCCTTCAGTCAAACGTGTAAAAGAAGTCATAATTAAATGTAAATAAAATAATAGTTGGTTATCCTCATAAGTAATTTTCCCTTTATAATATATTCACTAAATATCACAGAAAAAAATGATATATGGGGGTAACCAATTGTCATTTTTTTTTTTGTATAAATTTGACCATTAAACATAGATAAAGTATTTAAAAAAGTATCATTATGATCGGTAATTATAGGTTACCCCGGTTTCCAATGATTGTCCGACAACTAATGTGTTGTTTGTTTTTCTAAAGTCAAAATATATGCAGTCTGCGAACCATATCTACAAACCTCTGCAGCAGAAGATGTGGATCAAATATATGCAGTATACAATAAAATGTTTATTTGTTTTTTTATGTTTTCAGGTACTGAAATAAACTGATTTTTCAAATTTAATTTCATGTCATAAACACAAAACAAATGGCATTTTTAGCAAAAAAGATAGGCGGCGAAGAAAGGGAAAAAAAAGAGAGAGAGAGGTGACGTTTTATTTTTTGGTTTAGGTTAAAATGTGGCGTGAAGACATTTGAAGACAATGGTCAATGTCTGCGCCATGAAGACCTCACACAGACGTTTTTTGATTTGCGAACTTCCAAAAAACAAATACTCTGTGAGAGCATATGTTTATGTATTGTCTGCACAACGCAGACAAAAATGGTTGCACATATCTGCAGAAAGAAAAAAAACAAACAGCCGGTAAGAAACTTGTGAGGGTAATGAACTTTTGCAATTATACATAGGGATGTCAAAAAGTCCCGTGGGGGTACCGTCCCGTTTGGGGGATTTTTTTAAAAAAAAAAAATCGGGGCGGGAACGGGGGCTGGGGCAAGGTTAACCCCCGTTTTCATTTCGGGGGCAGGGACGGGGGTAGGCAATCCCGTCCTGAAATCCCCATAGGGACCCCGTTAATAAATTACACATATATTTACATATATGAATTATATAAATATAATAAACAATAACATGATTTTGAGCTTCCAAAATTCATCAAAAAACATGTTTTTAAGTTGTTAGTATAATTTTTTAAAATGCCATAACTTTTTTATTTTTAATATATAAATTTCTGCTATAAATAATTATTTGTTACCTAAAAAATAGCTTATTTTATCCTAAATAACAACTTCTTTTAGACAAAAAAAAAAAAGTAGCCCAAAATCAATCGGAGCGGGGGAACGGGGGCGGGGACGGGGATAAGAAAGGGGATTCGGGGGCGGGGGTAGGAACATTGAACATTCCGGGGGCGGAACAGGGGCGGGGGAACAGGGAAATTTCAGGGGTAGGGGCGGGAGATGCACTCCCCGCCCCATTTGCCCCCGTTGACATCCCTAATTATACATGTTTAGTGATTTTTTATGACCAATAATAAGTTTTAAGTGTTTTTTTAACACCAATGTCTTCTTACTAAATTATTGTTTTAAGGTTATTAAAAACTCTTTTTTTATGTATTCAACTTTTATGTATTCATTATCAATGTATTGAATGTTATAGATTATTTTTTTAATATAAAATTACGTTTTTGAAAACTTTTTTATAATTGTTCAAAAAAATTTCAATAAAATTACATTTATGACAATTTAAATATAAATTTTTTTTTCAAAAAATTATGTTTCTTGAAAACAATTTATAGCTTGTTTTTCTAAAATTTTAAAAAATGAATATGTAAAAGATAAGTTTTATTAGGGGTGAGCAAACCCGAACCAAGAAACCGAAAAACCGAAAAAAACCGACGAAACCGAAACCGAATCAAAACCGACGGTTAGGGTTTTAAATTTTTAAAAACCGATTTTTCAGGTTCGGTTTCGGTTTTTACCCAGAAACCGACCCAATGAACCCGGGAAACCGACCCTCTTTAAAAACCGAGAAACCGACCCATAAACCCATAAAACCGATGATTTTTACTGCCCATTTTATTATATATATATATATATATATATATATATATATATATATATATATATATATATATATATATATATATATATTAAAAAAATCCTAATTCTAATAAATTAATAGAACTCGTCCACGTGGCATTCTCCCAGCCCCTTAAAATAGAGTTTTCCCGCTCATTTTTTTATTCTATATTTACATAAATGCCATTGAATCCGAAAATTGAATAAAAGTTCAAACTGATGCAATATATCAGGAAATTTTAGCTGTCAACTGCATTCAAAATATTCATGCATTAATTTTAAATGAATAAAGATTATGGAAATAATTTGAAAAAATATGTTAATGAATAATCTGATCCGAAAATCACGATTAAATTTGAAAGTTTGTTTATTTTGATTGCAAATTCAATATATTGTAATCATTAAATCCCTAAAAATCTGCAGTATTTTTCAGCAAACGTAAATATCATTTATAAGGTTATTTTGTTTTTACCATTCTGCTCCATAACAATTCTGCTCCATAGAAACCACAGCAAACGTATTCTTCTTCATTCTTTGTTATTCTGCAACGCTTCAAGAATTAAATATCAGGTTAGTGTATTCAAAAATCAGAATTACCAATATTTCTATTTCCTCCATGTTCTTATTTATCTGTATCTATCACGTTCTCATTGTATGATTTCTATTCTTCTTCTTTTTTGTAATTCTTCTTAATCGTCTACTTCTTCTACCTTTTCAGTTTAAAAGACGAAAAACTAATGAACATTACAAGTTCATTTTCTTTAAAAAAAATTAAAAATAGTCTTTTTCAGATGTGCACAGTAACTTTTTTTTATGGTATGAAATTTTAAAATTTGTTTGTTTTTATCTAAATACAATCTCAAAAAAATTTAGAATTTTAAAATTTATGAGTACATTAAGTCAATTGTTATTGTCATGTGTTGATTTTTAATTTTTCTGTTTTACTCATTGTTATGTTATCTGTTAGTATTAGTATGTTGCAGGGGCATTTTCGGTATAATTGTCGTTTTCATGTTTATTATATATTTGTGTTCCATCTTATTATATAAACTTTTATTCAATCTAAAACATTATTTCATATGAATTATTTGTTTTTGTTTGTATTCCATTTTATTATAAAATAAGTTATTCAATTTAAAAATTTATGAGTACATTAAGTCAGTTGTTATTATCATGTGTTGATTTATAATTTTTCTGTTTTACTTATTGGTTAGGATGTTCTGTACATTTTAAAAGGTTGCTAATTTTCCTTACAATTCTATAATGATTAAATTTATTGCAGAAAATGGAAATAGGAAATAAGGTTTACCTAAATAACATTGACCAGATAGATGAAAAATCGCATATCAAGGTTCGGGTGCTTAAAATTTGGAACTTTGTCAGAAATAATAAAGTTTGTTCCATTGAAATGATCATCATGGATGAGGAGGTTTGTTGTATTTGATATATTTTTTATTCATCATTCAATATTAGACATGTTTCATGAACATAATAATTTTTAATTTTTTTTTAAACAGGGTACACAATACCAAGCTCGTGTCTTCAATCAGAATTTCTCCAGATTTCGTCATCTTTTAAAGGAAGATGAAAGTTATATAGTTATAAAACCAATATGGCCGCTGTTACTAATGGTTTTAGTTATACAGGTCATAAAATAACCCGACTGTTAATTTTGTTGTTATCGTGATGCAGTTTTTGAAGCTAAACATTTGGAATGGTTTGTATTCAGTCTTTATATATAGATGTTTATAATTACTGTTTTTATATAAATTTTAATAATTGGATATACATTTTTTACAGGTCTTGGTGAAGCTAAAAGTCATTTTGAAGTAACGAAATTGTTCATAAATTCTAACATTTATGAAATAAATGAGTTTAAAAATAAATTAGTTTCCAATTGTTTTTTATTTTTTATAATGTATTTTAACTTAAAAAAAACACAAAACCTAATATTCATGAATCTAAATTAAACATTACAGGTTGAAATGTCATGATAATTTCGGTATAACTGAAAAAAGCATAACTACACTTCAAAGCTACTCTTCTTCATATACAGATGACTTTAAGGGCAATTTTCCATTAAAAACAATCTGTGACATCACCGAACCAATTAAGGTATATTGCATTATTTTATATGTTTTACATTTTATTTTTGCATAATTTATTTTAATAATTTTTACATTTGATATGATACAGGAAATGAAGTTTTTATTAGTTGCTTCCATTGTTAATATAAGGCAGAATCTACCATGGTATTATGAAGCATGCAAAAAATGTGGAAAAAAAATTATCCTTGTTCCCAAAACCAATCATTCGTATACCAACCCTAAGGGAATTTCAGAAACTATGGTTGTCGAGTGTACAAATGCACAATGCAAAAAATCTGAATTTCAGTCAGTTATAAAGTATAGACATATTTATTTCTATTAATTTTGTCAATCTTAAAACAACACTAACAATGACATAATTATTTTTTGTTTTAGGTATATAATTCCAATTAACGTACAAGATTGTACTGGAACCATTGGATTGACTCTTTTTGATAGGGAAGCAAGGAGGTTGTTAAATATAAGTGCCTACGAGTTGAAAAAGATACATGATGCGATATATTATTCATACCTTTAAAATCATAAAACATTTACTTAATTTTTTTAATTTATTAAAATATATCTTACAGGCCGGAGACAGTGATGCCCTATTTCCAATGCAACTTAACGTGTTGAAAAACCACAAGTTTGGTTTTGTTGTAGATATTACAGAATACAATGTCAACAACTATAATAACATCTACACAGTTCTCAGAGTTACAGAAGATATGTCCATTGTTTGTGAATTGGAAAGTAAAATAGAACTTATGGTATGTAATTTTTTATTGTTGAAAATTTACAATTCTTTAATGTTAAAGTACATAACGATTAACATATTTCCATTTTATTTTTTAGAATATTCAATCTGTCTCCTTAAATCAAGTTGCTTTGGAATCCGATGATGTTGTACAGCCTGTTCAAAAGGTTTTTCATTTTATTTTATAAACTTTTAATTATATTAGTTATTTTTTTTAGGAATCAAACATTTTTTTTTAAATTAGGATGTGATCTCACAAACAGACGAAAGTTTTATACCCTCAACAATTGATAAGTCAACTGCAACAAGTCCTTGCAAAATATCAGGTGATTTGAAGCGCAACCTCCAAGAAATTTATGATGTTGATTCTGGATATGATTTAAGTTCAACTAAGGCTAAAAGAAAGTCAACCGCAGAGGAAACTCTACTCTTGATTCCAAAAATTGAAAAGTGAGTTTCTATCGGTTATAAGACACATTTAATATATTTTGATCATTTGTTTTGGTTATAAAGATATTTTAATTGCTTGGTATGATTTTTATTTTGGGGTATTTAGGATGTCAAATATTATTGGTTTTGAATATTTTTGGATACTTTTATTGTTTTAAATTGGACAAGTTAGTTGATTTTGGTTATAACTCAAATAAAATATATTGCCCCTAACTTGATAAGTATTTCATATATCGCAATTAACAATTAAGACAAATCAATCAATCAATCAATTTGTATAATAAAAATGCGAAATTCTTAGCTTTCTTCCCCAATTCGCATTCTACTGTAAAATTCGCATTCTTCATTCACCCTCTTTCTTCGCATGTTCCAGTCATTTTTTTTTTAGTTCATTCGCATTTGAGTTGTTTGTCTCACCAAATGCGAAATTAATATTAACCATAATCACCTTCGCATCTTTAACCCCAATCCATACAACCTCATATGCGAAACCCAATTTTGATTTGTATTACCAAATGCGAACATTTTTGCTTTTACACGTGAACTGCATTTGACTCCAATATTGAACAAATCACATTTCACAGTCCTTGACTTCGCATTTTTCTTCACGAATCGTCCCTCAATCAATAACCCAATTAACCCAATTGCGAATCCAAAATCAAAACTTATCTGTTTTCATATGCGAACCCAACTGATTGGCTTTTCAAAATCAAATTCGCAACTCCAAATCATTCGATTATTCGCCCCAATTCCAAAATCAAATAACAGATCCTTCGTATGATTCATTTAATAACCAAGGCTTCATTCCAGAAAACATCGAATTTAACAGTTATTCGTTCCCACAATCTTTAACCTCCGTTTAAAATCGATCCCTGTATACAAACCCAATAACCAATCGAACACATATCATTCGAAAACAATAATCATTACACCCTTCAACAGATTTGACATCGCATTTCAAAACAATCGATCTTACTTCATCTGCTTGATATATCGCAATTAACAATTAAGACAAATCAATCAATCAATCAATTTGTATAATAAAAATATTGCTATATATGTAAAGACCATATTGCCCCTAACTTGATAAGTATTTGATATATCGCAGTTAACAATTAAGACAGATAAATAAATCAATCAATTTGTATAATAAAAATTCGAAATTGTTAGCTTTCTTCCCCAATTCGCATTCTACTGTAAAATTCACATTCTTCATTCACCCTCTTTCTTCGCATGTTCGAGTCATTTTTTTTTAGTTCATTCGCATTTGAGTTGTTTGTCTCACAAAATACGAAATGAATATTAACCATAATCACCTTCGCATCTTTAACCCCAATCCATACAACCTCATATGCGAAACCCAATTTTGATTTGTATTACCAAATGCGAACATTTTTGCTTTTACACGTGAACTGCATTTGACTCCAATATTGAACAAATCACATTTCACAGTCCTTCTTGACTTCGCATTTTTCTTCACGAATCGTCCCTCAATCAATAACCCAATTAACCCAATTGCGAATCCAAAATCAAAACTTATATGTTTTCATATGCGAACCCAACTGATTAGCTTTTCAAAATCAAATTCGCAACTCCAAATCGTTCGATTATTCGCCCCAATTCCAAAATCAAATAACAGATCCTTCGTATGATTCATTTAATAACCAAGGCTTCGTTCTAGAAAACATCAAATTTAACAGTTATTCGTTCCGACAATCTTTAACCTCCGTTTAAAATCGATCCCTGTATACAAACCCAATAACCAATCGAACACATACCATTCGAAAACAATAATCATTACACCCTTCAACAGATTTGACATCGCACTTAATCCATCATATCACTATATTTTTTTATAATTACGTATTGTTGTATTTTATGTTAATTTCATTACACACATTGGTATTGTATCATCTGCATATGTCCAATTAGAATGATGAATAAAAAAAATAGTTTTCAAAAATCTTCATTCCTAATTAAATACTTCCCATTTAGTTAGTAATTAAATAATTACCAATAAAAAAAATTATTTAAATATTCAATATTATAATTTATAAGTTATGATATAATATTTTATTAAATAATTAATTTTTAAATTAAATTCAAAAACAGCACCCGTGGGTTCCACGGGTTTTAAGCTAGTAAAGATGAATAAAAGAAGCCCTTGCCCCTTTATCATTTCCGTCTTTCCGACTTTACTCATTTACATTTTGGCATTTTTCCCTACCTCGCTACTCGGCCACTCGCAATCGACAATCGGCAATCGCATCTCCCATTCGGCCATTCCCGCAAAGGCGCAAACGGCGCATCTCCGAGAGACCGAGACTCCATTGAAGTCGGACTCCGACGAGACTCGCAGTCGATCGTACACTCGCAGTCGGACTCCAACGAGACCTGTAACGGAGCCCCAAACCTCCGGCGCCATCAACGAGACCTGCAACTCCTCTGTATCGTCAAATACGGTAAATGCTTTTTCTAAATTCATGTTCAATTGGCAATTGCTGCTTGCTACCATCGGCAACAACCCAAACCCAAAAAAACCTTACGACCCAAAATATATAGCAGTAGCAGACTAGCAGTAGCAGCAAAGAGTTTATGTTTTTTTTTTTAAATCTTATAATTGTTTAAGTTCTTCCTAATTTTTCTGATTTTATATAGAATCTTCAATCTTGTGTGTATGTTGTGAATTTGGCTTGTGTGTTGGCATGTTGCTTTCCTGTTCATTTTATATAGAATCTTCAATAGGTTTTTACATCGTTGTCATTTTAATTGTTTTTCAGAAAATCGAAACCAAGGATAAAACGATGTTTCATATAAATAGACATGGACTTCTATTTTAAAAATTTTCAGCATATAATTAACAATTTAACGTGTTATTTAGTGAGAGTTAAATGCATTATGTGTTATTTACTTCACAAATATCTTAACTCATGGTAAATCAGAAAACCAAGACTTGTATTTTACAATGTGCTATGCTATTTTTTTCACTTCAAAAGCTTGCAAATTGCAATACAAACTCACCTAACAGTAAATCTTTGGCTTATGCTTTCATCTTGTGTGTTGGCATGTTGCTATCTGGTTCATTTTTTGCTGTGAAATGTTGATATGAGTTTCCTTTTGTTATTATTATTATTATTATTATTATTATTATTATTATTATTATTATTCAATTTATTGCTGTGAAATGTTGATATCAAAATAATCAATTTGATGCATTGTATTCTGAAAGATATGAACCTTATTGTTTGGATATAGAGTGTTGAATTGAAGCTTTTTATTTCCTAAAATTTTTTGGTTTACATATGGATTGGTGATTGTTTTTTTCTATGTAGATGGAAATGTCTCAACTAGATGCACAAACTGTTGATGTTGATGCTCCCCAAACCATTGATGTTGATCTTGATGTGGATGAAGGAGATGATGAAGTAGTTGCAGATAATAAGGGTGGTGGTCATAGAGTATCTTGGGTATGGAAACATTTTGATAGAGATGCCGTAAAGAAGGGTGCTAAGAAAGTGAAATGCCCATATTGTTCAACAATGATGTGTGCAAATTCAAAGAAAAACGGTACAAGTGCAATGGGAAATCATTTAAGACTCTATTGTCCAACATCTCCTATTTATGACCCTAAAGGAAAAGTTGGTGATACGAAAAAACAATCTGTGTTGAGTTTCAAAAAAGTAGGAGACTCGGGGGCTACTTCTTTGGAAGTTCACTCCTTCAGCCAAGAGAAATGTAGGATTGCTACTTCTTTGGGGACTCCCGATGCCGACGATTGGGAGGTTGCTAGGTATATATATATATATATATATATATATATATATGTATATATATATATATATATATTACTTCAATTATGAAATCTGATATTGTTTAATTGCTTTGGTAGGTATTTTATCGACTATTTGAGGATCTTTTACAATGTCACAAAAAAGATATCCGGGTCCAAGTATGTGACAACAAATATATTTTTTAAGGAACTTGTGACAATGCAAGCAAGCATAACTAGAATGTGTGCAAGCACAGACGAGAAAAAGAAAAAGATGGCAAAGTCGATGAAAGAAAAATACGACAAATATTGGGACAACATTGAGAACATGAACTTTATGCTTCACATTGTTGTCGTTTTAGATCCCCGCAACAAGATGTGTTATTTGGAGTATTTCTTGGAGTTGATTTATGGTAAGAATTCTACCAAAACAAAAACAATTTTGGAGCATGTCAACAAAACACTAGAGGACTTGTTTCAACACTTCAAGAACAAGACGGAGAGAGAAAGATGTGAAAAGACAAGGAGTGCATCGTCTTCTACACCTAGTTATTTTGATTTTGGGCATGGAGTTGATATGGAAGACAATTTTGAAAGGTTTATGGAACAACGTGGACATGAGGTTAATAAAACAGAGCTTGAGATTTATTTATCAGATGGGATGGAAAAACGGGCGGAGGATTTCCAGATTTTGGGGTGGGGGAAATCCAATTCAACAAAGTTTCGTGTACTTTCTGAAGTGGTGAAACTTGTTTTAGGAATGCCAATCTCCACAGTTGCATCAGAGTCGGCATTCAGTACTGGTGGGAGGGTGATTGATGAAAGTAGAAGCTCCCTTACACATGTGATTGCCGAAGCTCTGATTTGTGCACAAGATTGGATACGGGACACCCCAATTGATATCCAGTTTAAAAATATGACGACTTTATATATGGAAGAGACGCGAGAGAAGTTGGTGCCAATAGAAACCGGTAAATATTTTACTATTTTTTACATAATTATAAGTTTGTAATTATATATGTTTATAATTAATTAATTACATACTATTGTTTTGTGTTTGTAGAGGAATTGGGGTGTGGTCAAGGGAGTTGCATGGATGAGGATTTTACTTGAATTTTAAAGGTTTATAACTTAATTATTTTAATTTTATACTTTTACATGGATATGGATTGAAGATTCGTGTTTGCGTGTTTTGGACTTTTGGTTGTAATCGACTATTTGACTATTTCGGACTTTGTGTTTTAGTGATTGTGTGTTAATGTGTTTGGTTGTAATCGTCTAATCGACAATTTCGGACTTTTGTGCTTTAGTTTGATTGTATGTTTGTTTGTAATAGACAATTTGGTTGTAAAACTCATGTTTTTTGAAGTATTTAACTTCAATTAAGTGTTTTTTGAATTATTTAACTTATTGCTCCATTTCTGGAAAATGGGTTTAAACTCAAAACCCATGGGTTTAAACCCAGAAACCGTAAGTGTATGGGTTGAACCCAAGAAACCGAGAAACCACCCAAACCGATAACAGAACCCGAGAAACCGAACCGACCAGAAACCGATGCCATTGGGTTCTGAAAACCAGAAACCGATCATTTACGGGTTGGGTTGGGTTGGGGTCCAAAACCGACCCAAACCGACCCATGCACAGCCCTAAGTTTTATAACCTTACATATATAATAAGGAAACATGTAACCGTACTATATGACAACTAACAAATGAAATAAAAGCGTTATAAAAGCGAATATATATATATATATATATATATATATATATATATATATATATATATATATATATATATATATATATATATATAACATGTAACCGTACTATATGACAACTAACAAATGAAATAAAAGCGTTATAAAAGCGAATATATATATATATATATATATATATATATATATATATATATATATATATATATATATATAATAAGGAAACATGTAACCGTACTATATGACAACTAACAAATGAAATAAAAGCGTTATAAAAGCGAATATATATATATATATATATATATATATATATATATATATATATATATATATATATATATATATATATATATATATATATATAGAGAGAGAGAGAGAGAGAGAGAGAGGGGGGGGAGGAGGGTTCAATTGAGAAAAAAAAAGGTTGAGAATGGGGGAATCATTCTCAACCAATCATTTAATTAGCACCTTAACATAAAATACACGGTGGCAAACTTGTAAATATGATATGATATCCTTCAATCACAGATACGTAACTGTGGATAGTTTGATAACAATTCAAATTCATTACTACTCGACTGTTCATCATCCAAATTTCTTCTCCAAACTTCAACGATCATCCAGATTTATTCAATTTAATCATCGATCAACATCATCCAATGTTAATCAATCATTCATCTTCGTCAAAAACACGTTCATCAACATCACAGTAGACAAAAAAAATTTCGCTTTTGGTTCTTTCAATCTAACCTTCAATTTTGCTTGAACACGAGCATATCTTCAACATTTACGATTAATTATACTCTCAGTATCATTAGATCAACATCATCGATAATCAACAACAGCTTCACTTCATATCATTCATTCAACATCAATCATCAAACAAAATTTCGAAATTAAGGTTAGAAAAACATCAAATCATTTTTTTTTTTGAAAAATTTCATATAATTGTCTATCAATCTACTATTTTGTAAGTTTTAAATAGTCAAAGTATCATGTTTTTAGCATTTTTGAAAAAGCTTACTTGTATGCACTCCAACTGTTTGATGAAAAGCATAAACTAAATTACCATGTTATATTCACATATGAATATGTTTTCACACCTTAATCAGTATATGATTATTAAAACACAAAACAAATATATAATTTTATATGTTATCCATATGTGAATAACATATAAAAATTATATATATTTGTGAATATATCTTGTAATATTCATATGTTAATATCCTGTGTAATATTCATATGTGAATAAACTGTGTAATATTCACATATGAATATATCATCTAATATTCATAAGTGAATATATTATCTAATACTTACACTTGATAATACTATGTAATATTCATAAGTGAATGCATCGTTTAATATTTAAATATGAATATATTGTATCATATTCACAAGTGTATATACTATATATTATTCATATGTGAATATACTGTATAATATTAATGAATGAATATACCATGCAATATTTAGATGTGACTAGAATGTGTAATATTCACAAGTAAATATACTATATAATATTCACATGTAAATCTACCATATAATATTCATATGTGAATATACTATGTAATATTCATTTGTGAATATACCATGTAATATCACATGTAAATAGATTGCTATCTGTTTTTGATATTGGTGAAGGTTCGATTGATGAAGTTTCGATGATTGGTGATCGCAAAATGATGTGACATCGATAAATATGGATTATGTTTATTGCTTTTGCTTGACATCAATGAAACTGAACAATATTGAATCACGACTTACACTTAATAGTACGAATAAATGTTTTTGATGATGAATCACAACATTTTGATAAAATAACGAAGATATTTGATAAAGAATTGATGTTTTATGAAGTGTCGATGTTTTTTGATGATGAACAGGTGACGTTGATATTTTTTTGATGAAGAACAGATGACGTTGATGAATAACAGATGATGTTGATGGAGAAGATATGATGTTGATGAAGAACTGAGGAACGATCCAGATGAATGAATTACAGATATTGTTGATGAAGAACGAATGAACGATTCAGAAAAACAGCGTGTCTTTAATGACTTAATCTAAATGTGTTTTACATATATAAAATGATTGACTGAGAATGATTCCCCCATTCTCAACCTTTTATTTTTTTCTCAATTGAACTTACCTCTCTCTCTGTATATATATATATATATATATATATATATATATATATATATATATATATATATATATATATATATATATATTAGGTTTTTGAAAATATTTTTTATAATGGATCGTATATTTTTTCAATAAAATTACATTTATGAAAATTTAATTAAATTTTTTTCGAAAAATTACGTTTTTAGATAAAAAAAATCTACAACTTGTATTAAATTTTTGAAAGTGAATATGTAAAAGATAAGTTTCTACAACCTTACATGATAAGAAATATGTAAAAAGACATCACTAAACGTCACTACTTTGTCACACTTAACTAGTTAAATATAAACATTAGAAAAGCAAATATGTAAAAAGACATATATGAACAAATGTAAAAAGTAATATAAATTATAAAAAAATGTTATACAAAAAACGTGCAAAAGAAAAAAACATCTCATTTTCTAATTTTGATTAATATAACTTTATTGGTCAAGTGTGTGAAACAAATATAAAAAAAAATGACTAAATACACATAAATACCAGACTTTATTAATTTATTGCTCACTTAAAAATCATTAGAAACTAAAATCCCTTATAATTTTCAATTTTCAATTTTCAATCGTTAATATTTTACAAACATTTTAAATAAATCTATCAATCAAAGCTTTCAAGAAAAAATGGAAATATAAACAAAAAATACATATGTTTTTGAAAATATTTTTGTAATTGTTCATATTTTATTTTCAATAAACTTACATTTATGACAATTTAATTAATTTCTTTTTTTTCAAAACTTTATGTTTCTAGAAAAAAAAAATTACAACTTGTTTTTTTATAACTTTTTAAAAGTGAATATGTAAAAGATAAGTTTTTACAACCTTAAATACATCATAACCAAATATGTAAGAGGGCGTTACTACTTTGTGACGATGAACAAATGAAATAAAAACATTATAAACACAAATATGTAAAGAGACATATATGAACGATGAAAAAATGAAATAAAAACATTATAAACACAAATATGTAAAGAGACATATATGAACAAACGTAAAAAGTTAAATGTTCACTGTCAATACATAAATAGGGATTCAGATTTTGGGTTCACTCAAACCGGGGTGATAACAATTTGAAGATCATAAACACAAAATTTGTGTAACCATAAATCACAATGGTAATTTTTGAGAGTCACAAAGGTTACGAATGTGAAAGTGAAGGTGATAGAGAAAAGATAAGGTGGTTTCGAAGATAAAAATGTACCTCTACTATATTGCGAATGACTAAGCAGTCAAATCTTAACTCAATATGAGAAGAGTAAGGTAGCTCAATGACTTATGTGAATATTAGTCCAATTGGGAAAAAACATTCGGAATGAAAGTTTCATTAAGGCTTCAACATAGAGTCTCAGAGGCTTTGGTCAACATGCAACAACATGCTTATCGGGACACTTAGCTAATATATAGAATCGGAGTTATATACATGCCCCATCATTCCAAATTGAGGTGATGAAATGATATTCCGAGTCCCACATGAATAGTAGACTCCAAGGTGTTGCGAGCGCTCGAACCCGTTCGGAGTGTAAGCAGTGACTTACGAGTACCTTCGTGTCACAACTGGAAATTTTGTGTCTTGTAAACTATACACTCAAGCTAAAGTGAATCAAAAGCTTAAGAACATGTGTAACACCCATGATTGTAACAACAAAATTTCAATCAAATACACCATACAATCATTCAAATGGTCAACAAACAATTGGAAACCCTAGAAGTTCTTATTTAGGTCCACTTTGGACTAGAACTCCCTTATTGGATCCAAATGGACCAATAAGCTTCCAATTGGACTATCATGGGCTTAGAACCCTAATTGGGCTCTAATTGGACCCACATTCATTTATTTCAATATTATGGGCCATATTGGGCCTAGAATGAAATAAATTGAAAGCTTTGATCCATGATTAACCTAATCTAGCTTATTAAAACATAAAAATCACAATTTTATTTTATAAGGCCAATAAATACCTAAGACTAACTCTAATATTGGGCTTAGGAGCAAAAAGCCCAAATTTTCCTTTTTCCTTCCATGTTTTCGGCCCAAAACAAGCCCAAGAGAAAGGTTTGACTTTCTCATGCCACCTCACTATTAACTAAAGGACTTCCATGCAAGAAACTCATATCTCCATGCAAACCTCACCTCAAATATCATTTCTTCTTCCTCTCTCTCTCACTCTCGGCCGAGCAACACACACACATATTCACCAAAAATCTCT